GTTCTGACCAGAAACACCTTTGAGGCCCCAGGGACCCATTTGTCTATAGGGTAGAGCACTGTTCTCCTCAAAAGCTGGGGAAAGAACCAGTTCACCCTCAAACTGGGGTTTTTAATCAGTCAAAGATCTTTATCTGCATCACCAAAAATAGAGTGCTAATTGACAGTCTGTACAGAGGCTCTCAAAGGCATAACAAAGGAAATCAAATTAAGAGTTCCCTCCCTCAGCTGCCAGAAGAGATGGCACTGGCGCTGTCCCAACAGCTAATGTTTCCAACTGACTTTAAGTATTCTGAGGAACAGTGATCAAGCCCAGTACAATGTAAGCAAAAAAACAAAAACAAAACAAAAAAACAAAACAAAAAAAACACCAAAAACAAAACAAAGCAGAAAAGTGTTGGTCTCTATGCTGGACAGTGCTAGGCAAGCTAAAGGTGAACTTCAAGAGACCCACAAAACCCAAGGGCCTCCCCATGGAGCTGAGATGCCTGGAATTCCCCCTTAAACCATCAAAGTAATTGAAGTGCAGACCAGCTCTGGGCCAGCTCATGCGCACAGCACATTAATGATCCTGTGGGGACTAAAACATCCACTCTTTATCCCTTATCCCAGTCTGTCATCTTAAACACCCTCTGGAGTCTGCATTGTTCTTTTGTGTTGGGGGAGGTTTAAGAGTCCACTAATAGTTAGCAAAACCAGGGCTAGTATCTAAGACTTCCTACTCTGAGCCCAGTGATCTCTGGATATAAAACACAAACCCCTTTTCAACTTCTCTAATACAATCCTTTCAACCCGGCAGAAGCCAGAAGCCTGGGCCAACTGAGTTGTGTTAGACATGTGCTAAGAAGCATGGTCTAGAGGATGTCATATACATAAGAACATGACCAAAGACCACCTCTGCCTGTCACCCAGGTGACATGGGGGTGTACTTTTATCACCTCAGCAACAATCTGAGACCTCAGATTGACTCAGTGTCAACTCAGGATAGTTCTTTGTATAGAAAGGAGCAGGGGGCCCACAGCCAAGGTCCTCTCAGCCTCTAAGTGTGAATCATCTTTTGGAGTCAAGAGCTATACATGTGCTGCCATGTGACCGAGCCCAAAATAAGCATTAGCCACTCCCACCCTCATCAACAAAGTCTGTTGGCAGTGACTCAGATAATTCACATGTGACAGCTAGCATATGCCTTTCAGAGCGCCTCATGCTATGGCAGCAGGGCCAGCGTCGACCGCCTGTCTCCTTGGCTCTCTATTCTTGGATGTTTGCAGTTCATGTCCAAAGACATCTGGAGGCCCTGGTTTCACTTAATCTTATTTTACCAACCCAGCTCAGGACTCCATTTTCCCAGTCATTCCTCCTCGAATCCAAGATCCTCACAAGCTGTTTCCAAATATTGAAACACATTATGGCAGGCCACCCGTTCCATCTTATAATCAAATAGATGAATCACAGAAGGCAGTTGCCTTTGGAGTTTTTTTTTTTTTAATAGGATTTTCACTCCTACCTCATTGCTTTGACTGGTCTAGTGTTTACAGAAAAAGAAATGACTACTTTCAAATATGTCTGTGAGTTTTTTTAGTCAAATTAAAGCTGATAGCTTAAGTTGAATGCCTCCTCACCCTGTTCCATCTCCATGTTCTGATATTTACACATGTGTATTTCCTTGGTAAATTTGGGTGCTCTTGTCCCCAGAAGGACACCAAAACATCATAGAAAAGCTAGACATTTTCTTTACTCAGACACCCACATGGGACCTCTGGATGATGCTCGCAGGACCACTCCTCAGTGTCTCTCATATGTTGTGATTTTCTTGTAGCCTCATGGTAAACTTAGAGGTTAAACTCAATAGAGCAGGAGATGCAGGGACACCTTGGCGTTTACTTACATACTTGTGTGACCACTGCCTCGGTAAACCTAATTGACCTGGGTGAAGTTTCAGAATGGGGATGTTACTCTCGGATGCTCGGTGTCTTTGGTATGTTCTAAAATACTTTAAGCTACTGATAGCCTCCCCATTTGGAGAACACAAATATTGAAATGTGAAGTAAGATAAGAATCTGGTTGTCACATTGATACTTGAACCTATTCTGTATTCAGTTCTCCAACATGAGAACACAAAGTACTTAAAACCTCGGCTTTGCTTTCTGAACATTTCATTTTCCATAGCACCTGCCAGGTGCCCTGTACAGACTTCTCCTTTTCCTCGTGGGTTCGACCAGCCAATCACTGAAAGTTTAAGGGTACCTGATCTTCTGTAGCTGTCCTCTAGGCAGTCATACCTGTAACCCACATCCTTACTCCAGTGAAACATGTAAGGAGGGCCTTACCTGACATATACCTGGCCCTCTGCACACAGCTTCTGGGTCTCACCCTAAGCCCTTCTGTTCTGATATCTGGCATTTGTGGGGACCAGGCTTTATTACTTTGCTAGTACTTCACATGCAAATAAATCTATGCTGTTATGCACACAAATTCTACATGTCCTCTACGGTGCATTCACATCCTAAGAAAGCCTCATCGGCACTTGAAGGACTCTGCAGAAGTCACTTCACTCAGCACTCCAGTCCAAAGCTGCTGCTCACCTGAGGTGGCTCTTTCCTTCTGGTTCCAGCCAGCTTCCTCAATTCCTGAGATGTCCTGAAGTAGCATCAGGGGCACACCTTGTTTGGGAATATTAGTCACTTGAATTGCTTCCTGAACCAAGTCAACACTTCTCAGTTTGAAACTCAACATGCCTTGCAACTTCTCCTCCTAGCCTATCTGTCCAGTTAACTCCCTCCCCACTGAATGAAGAAAGAAAGAAAGAAGGAAAGAAAGAAAGAAAGAAAGAAAGAAAGAAAGAAAGAAAGAAAGATCTGTATGTCTCTGTCTCTGTGTATCTGTATGTCTCTGTCTCTGTGTATCTGTATGTCTCTGTCTCTGTCTCTCTGTATGTCTGTGTCTCTGTCTCTGTCTCCCTCACTCCTGTTTCACATAGTGGTCTGTCTTCCACCGCACACTCCAGGTTCTTGTCTTCAGTCACCATCCTGCCCTCTCCCCACCATTATGAACCATACCGTAAGCTTCTTGAAGGCAAACTGCTTTGACCTACCCTGTGTTCCTTAAATATGGCTAAATGAGGTTTTCCCCCTTTCCAACTGGGGACAGTCAGATTTACTGCTCATGAGGTTTCCAAGGACAAGCACAATATCTTAGTCATCACTGCGTTCCCAACAGCAAGCAGTGCCTGGGTGTGTGATAAGCTTGAGAGGAGGGGCCCGTACCACAGCAGAGTGGGAGGGGTCGCAGTTCTCCTGGGTGGCAGCATGGGTCTCATCAAATTCCACAAGGCATTTAGTTCTTCTGACATTGCAGATGAGAAAATGAGGCTGGGAGAGAACAGTGCCACTCTCGGTGGTATCAGTGAGCCAAAATTCAGGTCTGGCTGAGTCTAGAGCGACAGCTCTTAAGCAAGAGCTCTCTGGATTTGCAGTGTAGCCCCGTGATTTACAGACTGGGCCAAGCTATGAGCCCTGGCAACAACACTGACCAAATCTCTGTGCTAGGAAGTCTGTCTTCTGTTAGCCATTGAGGGGAGGAGGGAGTTGTCTGAAAGAGTTTAAAGGAAAGTTTAGTTTTAAAACAGAGAAAATTAATATCAAAATGTATATACATCATCTGTGTGCTGTTTCTAATTTGTATACATACGTGTTCACAGTACATATACCAGATTGTGTGTCTGTGTGTGTGTGTGTGTGTGTGTGTGTGTGTGTGTGTGCTGTGAAGAATTCTGTCTCCCTCATGGAGCCACAAAAGACCTGTGAAATTCAAGAGGAAACACCATGAAAGTTCAAATCCATGTAAGGTGCTACACTGAAAAGCAGGGGTGTTGATGAGCAAGGCACCTTAGTCTCTGATTTGAAGGGGTTTCCATTTGAACTTAGAACAACAGACTCATAGAGCCAGTTCTAAGCTTCACTGAAGGATATACAGCACCGAGCAAGGAAAAATAAAATTTCCAAAGCTCCCCATTGCACACATAAACAGATGTCATTCTCACAACTGCCTCAGAAGGAAGGGATTGTGAGCAAGCCCATTTCACAGATGAAAAAGCTAGAAATCTTCATTATTCATCAATCCAGAGACACACTACTGGCTCAAGTGAAGGTAGAGCCAAAGTCCATCCCAGGCCTGTGCAACCTGACTCTTTGCTGTTAGCTACCTATGCAATTTCCTTGAGTAATCCAAAGACATAAAGTGCACAGACAGGGAACCTTTGCCCTCAGCTTGGAAAAAAGGAGCGAAACAAAACATGGCAGCTGCCTTTGAAAATTCCAGAAGCTTGAGGAGGTTCAGGAGATTTCGTGTCACTGTCAGAGAGTCTACAACCTCAGAAAGACAGTGGGTTGGAAGGGAAGGAGTGTGTAGGGGGATCCAGAAGACAGCAAAAGAGGACCACCAGGGGCTTCTAGTCCAACAAGGGTCACACACATTGCCCTTGCAGAACTGCCCTGACAGCCATGCCAAGGCACATTAGTGGCAGAGAGAGCAATTTGGTTTAAGCTTTGCCTGGCTAGATCTTAGGCTGAAAATCACTAATCGCCACTCCCTCAGCATGCGCATGCACACACACACACACACACACACACACACACACACACACACATTTCTAAATCCCCCCCTAATGCTTTAGTGAAACCTAAGACCATGAGCCTTCAAGGGACAAAGCAAGGTCCATCTGTTCAGTCAGGAATTTGCCGAAGTAGAAGGACAATCGGCTTTGATTCTAGCTGAGCTTTCTGTGACCCCAAATCCTTCCCAACTCAGTCAGTCAGAAATAACTCTTCTTTTCTATGAACCATGATTCCAAAGGAGAGAACTTGGAAATTCTTTAAAAACAAAAAATAGCTGAGGACTTAGCTAATGACAGGGGAAACTGTCTGTCCCTTAGGGATACAGCCTGTTCTAAAAGCCCAAGGAAAATACTCATACTTGTCTTATGTGGGGAGGAAAACAGAATGCTTTCCTTTTCAAAGAATTTATTTATTTTATTATAAGACATATAGGTAAAAACTTGCATATTTTGAAAAATATAAAAAGGTAATAAAACAGACATTTTTCTTAGTAAGAAATACGCTCATAAATATGCTTTATCAAATGTTAAAATGGTTATTTGCAAAATAATAATAAATATAATTCAGCTGTTGCATACAAGGAGCAGCCCAAAGGATGGGGCATTTGTATGTTTGGAGGGGGAAAAAACAGGCTTCTGATTATATTTAAAATTTTGCACTCAGGGTTATTAATATAGTTGAGATTTTTTTAAAAAAATATTTTATGATAGCTCCATGATTTCAAAAACAGCAAGACATAAAAGATGATTTGACTAAGTAGAATTTGGCAAAAAAAAAAGTTTCCTCAAAATAAACACTTTTCTAAAGACACATAAGTAAACAATTTTTTGAACCTATAAGTAGTACACATATCAGCTCCTAAGTCTACAAATCTCTGTGGTCTTTAAACAAAAACTGGTAGTAAGCCTCAGTTTCCAGCAAATTCTAACAAGTCTCTTCACTGGAGCAGTAATAGTCACAACCATGATGAGGCCAGCTCTAAAGATGTCGTTCCAGGGATATAAGAATGCAGAGAGCCCTTCTCCTTCTAATAAACTACCACCATTTTCCTACATTTGTTTATGACCCAAGGACCTCGGATTCACATAGACCAACACTGAGCAAAACTTGAATGATAAAACACTCCTATCCTAGGCGTTCTTCACAAACATCAATATTCTGCTGTCCAAAGGAGAGAAAAACTCGTGTGAACCCCAAACATGCCCTTAAATGAGTCTGAGGCATCCACATAGCAGGTCAAGCTTTTCCTATGAATGAATACTGACTCTTGACTCTTGACAGAGATCTTTCATTCCCCGTACACTTGATTGCCCATCAGGCTAACCTATTGGTTCCCGTCTGCAATAGAGGAAGCCGCGTCTAACAATGCTTATGTATCCAATCTAATATAGATCACTGGTCCCAAAAGCCTTCAACGATGTCCATCAAGGAGACATCTGGATGACACTGGGTGCCTAGAGCACAGACAGGTCATGGCAGGATTTCGACTTGAGCTTGAAAGCCATGTTCTTGTTGTTTTTGGCCACAATTTTGCCCCAGAAGCGCCTGGCTTTCCTGGGGATGCTCTCCCGCCTCTTCTGGTAGGCCAGCCTCCTCTCATTCTTCTCCTTGCTGTCCCGGCGCAGGCGGACCTGCCGCACAATGCCCTCAAACAGTTCCTTCACGTTGTGCTGCACGGCGGCAGAGGTCTCAATGAATTTGCAGTCGAACACCACAGCACAAGCTCTCCCTTCTAGAGAGGAAAGGGGGAGAAGAAAGTCAGAAGGGTCACAGAGTGTGATCATGTACAATATGGCCAAGCTGGAGAACACTCTAAAACTGCCCTAGAGGTAGCACGGGGCAGCAGGCTATGTTATAGGTAGAAGGACACACTACAGCATGCATCCTCCCCAGGGTCTGAGAGGAAATCGCTCATAAGAAGATCCCAGGAAGCCGGCCAGATCTGACAAACTCACTATATGAAAACCCAGTTCCATCAAGTCTATGACATGAATTACAACAGCAAAAGTCATAGCGTTCTGCAATTCTAACAATACTACTTAGCTTTCCTCTCTTTTAAAAAAGTGTGATTAAGACTATACTTTCAGGGATCATTTCTATATTTCATTACTTACAAAGTATGATTAACTGAGATCTTTTGTGGGAAAATGATTTTATAAATATACAGTACAGTTCCATCCAACTATCCAAGTGTTTCTAAAGCTCTCGATTTAAGATACTCCATTTCTTTTAAGGTCACATGTCCACATTTTAGTATGAAATGATGTGAACACAGAATACCATTGTGTCCTAGTAAGACGTTCCCACCCGTTGGAAAAAAATAGTCTTGACTGAGCAGGGACTGAAAATGCCAATTTTTTTTTTTTACAGTTGTACTAAATCTACATTGAGCCAATATGATCTCAAAGGCCCTAAAAAGAATACGGAGACCTACTCATCAAATAAGAATCATGCTTGAACAAGGCTCAAGAAGCATGTGTGATCCCATCAGTCTGATGTCCTCACAGAAGTTTACAAAGGACGGGGTGGGACTAGAGAGCATTAAATGGAATGTCAACAGGCAGAGTATAAGGCTGTCTCTTTTGAAAGTCTCCCTCACGAGTCTTCCTACCCCGAGTTCCTCTCCTTGCATCCATATGTGGCTTTTCCTCCCCTGAACTTGGGATCTGCTTGGAGAACAGAAGGATGGGCAAAGGGTAAAGCTGTCAGGAAATTCCTGAGGATGCTCTCCTTTCTAAAGTAACTCTGGGAGAACACCCAAGGGGGAGTGGGTACCCTAGACCTTCAGGTAGACCAGAGGATACAGAGAACAACGAATGACTGATACAAACAATGGGAACCATGAGAGTCTTCGACAATATACATCAAACTGCACAGAGCATCCCACTGAGCCCCTGGATGCAGCCTTGCAGGGGAAGGAGAAAAGAACCTGCTGGTGGACCAGTGTGTGCCGTGCAGGGGTAAAACCCATATCACACACCCTCTCACCTGACACAGACACTTCTCGACACCGAACTAAGTCACTTTTGTTGCCAACCAAAATTATAGGAATGTCTTCTGCCTGCCGGGCCCTGCGGAGCTGGATCCTCAGCTCAGACGCCTTCTCAAAGCTGGCTCGGTCTGTGACAGAGTACACGACCAGGTAGGCGTCCCCAACCTGCATGCAGTGCTCACGGAGCCATTCATTCTCCCCCTAATGAAATAAAAAGACTTTCCATGAGCTCAGGCTAGCCTAAAAATTGAGGTGCCATTGTGCAAAGAAACTGTATGTCTATCCCAAGGAAGAGAAAACAAGAAAACTGCTTATAAAACATCAAAACGAATTGGTCTTTCAGGATATCTAGAGATGCAAAGAAAGGCAGTCTGTATTGTTTTTATATCAAAAAGCTTACTTTCCCAGTTATTACCATAGCTTGAGCTGATACAATACATAAGTACTCTGACAAACAGTCTTTTCTGACTCCTTAAAAACTTCCTAATTAAGAATTAAGAATCTTTTTGTAGAAATAGGAAGGTTCTCAATAAACAATAATCTTGCATATTTGCTAGGAGGCCCAAAACCTGTCAACAGCCATGTTGGAATCCGAGATTGAGAAGGCCAACTTCACACAAGGTGGTTCTGTGTCATTGAAAATAAGTGGCCGAGCTTGTTTGAACTTTCCCTAAAACAAATACACTTCTTGTGATTTTTAATAGAACTCAGGGCAAACCACTGCAATTTGTTTGTTCTTCAGGGCTCATCTGTGAACGACCTGTTCCCCAGAACAGTCTCGTTCTTCAGAAGTAAATGCTTTTAATCAGGGAAATGAGCCCTCCTTGTCTGGAACATCTACTATGTAGGACAAGGTCACTCTGGCACCAAGCAGCCTGTTGAAAGGCAAGCCCTAAAGGAATACACTGGCAGCTACCAGCCCTGCATACCTTATTTTCCCACATGTCCAGGAGGATAATGGTTGCACTTTCTCCATCAACGACCAGGGTGCGCTCATATGTATCTTCTAGAAAAGAGAGAGCATTGTTATCTGTCAGATGAATAAGAAATAATTCAGCATAAGTGGTTCCTGTTGACTTTACTCTAGAATTTGTACTCTGGGGGGGACTGAGGATGCAGCTCAGTCAGTAAGTGCTTACTGTACAAGCACAAGAACCTGAGTTCAGTCCTCAAGAATCCACGTGAAAAACCAAGCATGGTGGAAAGAAACTTGGAATCCTTGTTTTGAGGAAGCAGAAGCAGGCAGATTCCCTAGGGTTCAATGGTAGGCCAGCCTAGCCGAGAGTCTCTGTCTCCCAAAATAAGATTCATGCCAATGGAAGAACACCACCCAAGGCTGACCTCTAGAATCCAGAGGCACATGCACACATATCCACACATACATGCCCCCACATGAACATGTATCTTTCATATACATGAATATTTATATATTCATGGGTATATGTGATATATGTGAATATATGAATATATTGAGAGATAGAGGCAGACAGACAGAGAGAGACAGAGAATTTACTTCAAAAACACCATTTTAGGAGCTGGAGACATGGTTCAGTGACCTCTGATCTCTGTGTATAGGTACAGGTGTATGTGCACACACACATACACACACACTTCTGTTCTCCTTCAACATACGACACACAGTCTTCCAGTCACTAAGCAAATTTCCCACAGCTCTTGTGAAAGGCTAAATAGCTTGAGTTAAAAGGAAATCATTTTCATCATTCTTGGGCCTTTTATGGAGGAAAGCCATTTATAAGGATAAATAAACTCCCTAAGATCTTTTGACTCCAATTCAATGGCTGAAGCTATGAGAAATCATTAACTATAAGCTCCATTATGGGACATTTTCACTATAAGCCCTATTTCCATAATCTTTATGAGAACTCCACTGTGTTCCAGTGGGAGACCCCTGAACATTCACTGGAAACTTCAGAAACTTGGAGCTCAGCAATGTTTCTCCTCTTTGCAGAAGCACAAGAAAAAATATTTTGAGATGGCCCCTAATTAGACCATCTTTTTCTTTAACCCCCATTTGCTTTGTTATGTTGAGATGGATTCTTACTAGTAGCCCTGGCCAGCCTAGAACTCACTACACAATCAGACTGGTCTAGAAGTTGCTGAGATTACAGGTATGTGTCATTGTTATATAGAAAGTAATGGAAACTTCTCCTCTGAACTTGAGCCTAAATTGGCTGTGGGTGAAGGGTGACAACAGTCACGGACCAGAGGAGCTCCATCTGGAAGAAACGAGCTGTCCTGGGATATTTGAGAGAGGATTTCCCATCAACCCTGTGCATCAATCTCATGCATACTCTGAGGTTTTCTGTTTTTAGTTCCATCTTTTGGAAATTATAACTTTCCGAACTATTTATCTCTTTTTGGCCCTTGAGCCTGAATCTCTTACTTTATTTTTTTTAAAGATGTATTTATTTATTTTATGTGAAGAGGGCATTGAATCCAATTACAGATGGTTGTGACCCATCACGTGGTTGCTGGGAATTGAACTCATAGACCTCTGGAAGAGCAGCCAGTGCTCTTAACCCCTGAGCCATCTCTCCAGCCAATCTCTTCCTTTAGATATCTGTAGGGCTCATTCCTGCTAAGGAGATGCTCTCTGGGTGTGAGCTTAAAATTGCATCAGAATTCTGAGCTTCTTTTCCTGATCTATGAATCTTTGTGTTACCTGCTCTCTAGCATGCGACCCTGGCCAGGAACTCACTACCCCGTGCTATATCCTCCTCTGTTTTGTTTTCTGAGCCTCGGTCCCTGGAAGCTCCGGGACTCTGCATGTGTCTCCCACTCCCACCGTGCCTCCCCGAGTGCTGTGCTGCATGTTCAGTAATGATTTAGAAATGAATGGGTCAATGAATGGATGAATGGGTGGATGTACAGATGGAATTAAATATGCACAGAGAATCATATGACTGTTGCAACAGGCTGGAAGAACATCCATCTTTATTAGAAGAAGTGATGGCGAGACTATCATATACATCCCCCTGGTAAATGCTGAAGAGAAAAGGTAAAACCAATGCATGGATATGCTTCAGAAAGCCTTCCTCTGGGGAAGGAAACGTAACATAACACATCAGTGTGAATGGCTTCTAATGCGCTTCTAAACCGAATGAATGCAGGCAACTCACAAAGGATGTATAATGTGGGATGGATCCATCACTGAGAAGCTTCTCGCTATCAGATGCTCAGTCTAGTAGCAGCTAAGGAAAAGTCCTCCCCTGTCTCTCTCCAAAGAAGTTTCCTACTGTTCCCTCTTCCAGTTGCGAAGCGGTCCCATTGCTCTGTGACTGTTGGATACTGCCCTTTGCATAGCCAGCACACCTTCTAATGGACAAACACTTCTAATGGGCCTATTGTCCACTAACTTCTCAACTCCTCCCTCTTAAAACAAATAAAACAACCCTGCCCTTACGTCAGACCCTTAGAGCAAGCATTACATTTCCCAGTGCTTGCTAATGCCACCATGAGCTCAGTTGCACTCAGTGGCTCTGAGCGCCTCACCACTCAGCCATCACTGGGTACCCAAAGTCTACATAGTGCTGTCCCATGTACTGTGTACTTAACAGCATGTGGAAGTTAAATCCAGAGGACAGTGAAAGAATGTGGGTTTTTGGTTAAATCACAAGCAGGTTTGAATGCGAGCCTTAGGAGCCACTTAGCTCTGTAAGCCTCCACACCTGTAGAGATGTCGATACCTATAGGTTCTGTTCTTATACACATTACCAAGAGCACATTAGAAAGTGCCAACACATAGCATAGGCCCCACGCTGGTGGAATGAGTGAAAAGCACCAACATAAGATTATAAAACCCCAGCCTCTACACCCAGTTTCCCCAGGGGTGATTCACCGCATCACTCATCCTCCGAGACCCTGTTCCTGCATGGGCATAGGAATTCCGTAAGGACTGAGATGAACATCAGCAACCATGAGGCCCCTCCCACTGCAAATGCCCATTCTGAGTATTAGCTCCTCCTCTGCTGTCTTCTAGCGCCCACCAGCCTGTACAAAGAGCAAAACAGCTGCACAACACCAGCCCTGTTTCTCCCTTGACCCTTGCTTAGCTATAGTCCCTGAGACCCCGGAAGTGGGGAAAGAAATGGATGTTACATCAGAGAACCATCATTCATGGCCATCCCTGGGCTGCCATGGAAGCAGTAACTCCCTAACACCAAGACAGCTGAGGAGAATCAACCCTTTCCATGAAATGGGCTGTTGCAGTGAAGAGGAAGATTTGCACACCTTGAATAGAGAGAAACCATCTTTCCCAAGCTTAGCCCTCTCCACCCCCCAAGTCTGCCTGAAGATGTATGTTTTAACTGAAAGTGGGAACAGACCGTGTGAGAAGCTCACACACCGAACAATCCTTCCTCCATTGCTACAGCGGTAAGCATGGGGTACAGCTGTTCTGGGTGTGTGCACTGATGTTGAAGTGCTAGCTGAAGGACACTGTATGACAACAACTGGCTACCCAGTTGTAATTTCCACCCCAGAATATAAAAGCTGTCACCTGTTGTTGTATAATGTATGTTTGTATAAAGTGGGTCTAGAAATAGGTAAGGATTAAATAAATAAATCCTTGAAATAGGTCACATGGAGAAAATCATCTGGAAGACCTGTCAGGCTCTACACAGGGCATTTATCATCATCTTTATATTTCAATTTTTTAAAAGTTACTATGTGACTTCAAATATAGCACTTGACCTACTTACACTTGCAAATGCTTCGAATGTTAGTGGAAACAAACTAATTGATCCACTCTAACAGGTTTCTTGCCCCCAAATCAGTTCGGTTTTATGCGTAGTCACAGAAAAGTATCCGTAGTGATGAACTCTCCAAAACTGGTCCAGGGCAGAAACAGCCTTCCTGGACCCCTCAGACCTGACCTTCAGAAAGCCACTTGATAACTTGGGTCAACAAATTTGGTCCTGTGTTCACATATTCCTGTCTGGTCTTGTTTGTACTTGAGGCTCTGTGCCAGCAGATAGGATTCTGTCACCCAGCTCGGTATTGAGAAGGCATGTGTTTTCCCCTAATTCTGGAGATACATTTTGTTTTAATTTGTTGTTTTTTGAGACAGAATTACATAGCCCAGGCTAGCCTCAAACTCTCTGTGTAGCTGAAGATGACCTTGAGTTTCTAGTCCTTCTGCTTCTTCCTTCATGGTGCTGGGATTATAAGTGTGTACCCTTATGCTTGGCTCCCAATTCTGCAGAAAAATGACCATTCCCTCTTGTTCTTCCTGCCTACAAGACAGAGCCCACCAGGGCTGGGCCACCAGGGATAGGCTACCAGGGATGGACCACCTACCTCCCAAGACCTCACAGTCGCTGTCCAGGCTGTCGTGCACACCTGCAAAGATGTTGGCCAGGGTGGACTTGCCCACTCCTTGCTCCCCTATAAGCACTACTCGGTAGTAGGTGTTTCCAGACTCAGAAGAGATGACCGAGTCTGTGGAGTCGGAGGACCAGCTCCGTCGGCAGTGGTCTTCAGGAGCAGTAGAGTGCCGGTTGCAGGGGTGGGGATCCTTCTGGACCATCAGATGCCTGCCATCAGCAGGGATGCTCCAGCGCTGCTGTGGCTGCATGCCCACAGTGCCTTGGCGCATGGTGACATTATTCAGAGTCATTGTGGGATCCTAGGAATCACAGCAGTAGAGATGGCAATATTATTAAAAATGAGCCAGGCCCAGGGGAGCTCAACACAGTCATCACTGGTGCTTCATTTGATGGGTATGAATTCTTAATATAAGGGACAACTATGAAACTGTCCCTAAGCCTAGCAAGCAAAATTTTCAACTACACACATACAGACATACATACACACACACACACACACTTAGCTTCTCAATCAGGTTGTTATTTATAGTACCAGTAACATCTTCCATTGCCCATAAGCTTCCTCCATCGTTAAAGGAGCTTTGGAAATCCCACTGGAAGTTGGCACAGAAGCAGCTGGAAGGAACTCATTGCCTCCAGAAATGGCTTTACCATCAGCAACAAGTCAGTGCTGCTGGGGACCAGCTGGCCAGGTTAGCTGTGCTTGTCTAAACATGGCTCTTAATTGCACCAGCGTCCTGCAGTCTTTTGTGCCTCAGTGGGAAACACGTGGCAATGACATCACTCCCCTGGCTGGACTGGACAGGCACTTTGGGGGACTTCCATGTTTAGTAAAGTTGCCCTGATGTTCTCCAGCTGCCTGAAGAGAGAGTTATTTGAGGAGTGGGACAGTTTCTGTTTGAGGTTTAAGCCTCAGCTCTCCCTTCTTACCCACAGATACTGTGTAGCATACCAGCCCTGAGCCTGGTTCTTCTGACAGGGGAAGGACCTGCTCACATTCAGACACATCACACTTGTACAAAAAAGTACTTCATTCTTAAGGAACCTCGTCCACTCCAGGATTTAATTAGCTCAGAATTCCACCTTTCTGAAGTAAATCAGAAGATCAGAGACTAGGCGAAAAGCCACTCAACAACTTCCTACAACTTTCTCCTTGCAAGAAGATCGCCTCGCCTGACAGGCAGTCTGTTCTGCCAAGAGTGCCCGAGATAACACAGCAGTATCCACTCCACGGTTAACTCAACAAGCTCCCGGCGTGAGCGCAAGGATCGCACTCAGCTCACACACCCTAGTCCATACATCACACCTATGCCACTAGCCAGAACCAGCCGGTTTCTTTTTAAGTCTTAAAAACAGTCCCTGGGTTGGCAGACTTGCGTTCAGACCTTGAAGTCTGACGCCTGGCCACCTAATCTGTAAGGTGACACTCCTCCGGAATTGAATTTAGGAACCCCCATCAGAAGCGCATCCTTTGCACCTGAACTTCTTTTTATCATGGCAGAACCCCCGGCACAGACCTCACGGTCTAGGGGCTCCCTTCCCAATTTAAAAAGTTCGGTGACCAGGAACGCCCCTTCCCGCAGAGGCTCCCACTGGGACTGCCCCTCAACCATGCCCCCTTACTTGGCTGCACGGGGCCGCTGGGTGGGCGTCTGCCGTCGGTCTGCACAGTGCCTGCTGCCTGCTGCAATGCCTGACGCCTGCGATGCGGGCTCCGCAGTCCGAGGCCGTGTGATGTCCGCTGGCAGTGCCGCCTCCTGAAGCCTCCGCGGCCCGCCGCCGTTTATAGCGCGCCCGGCAGCCCCGCGACGGGGCTTTTCCGTGACGTCAGCGCTCCCGCCGGGAGGGGGCGGCTCTGCAGCAAACTCTGAGTTACAGCCACTTGGCTAAATCAGTTACTCGTAGTCATGTGACTCCCATAGCCCCTTGAGGGGAGTGAGAGGGGAAAAAAATGACAGTTCAATCGTTGGCCTTCTTGATTTTGTTTTATTTTCTTTTTATCAGGTGGACACTGGAAAAATACACTTAGTGCTACTTAATCGCCCTTCCCAGCAGAGCACTTGTGAGCTGTCTGAATAAAGGATGGGGAAAGAAGCAGGCCCGAGTCGCGAGTCCAGCTTTGCCAAGAAAACAGATCGGTCTGAGTGAGCCGGACTCCGGCCTCCAGGATGGGGCTACAGCCACCCTGAGTGGACAGGCCACCTTTACAGCATGCTCTGAGAAGCAACCAGGCCCTTCCTGCTTCCTGTCACCTTCTCTCTGGGTTGGGGACATACTGCTTTGTTTCCCTCTTCTGGCAGAGATCCAAAGAGAAGGGGCCGAAGGAAAGAGTGGAGGAGACCTTGAAAAAGGGCAGCTCTGCTCCAAGCAGCTTGTGCTAAACACTGCTGTCCTCCTGTCTTGGCCACAATGCTGAATCTCCTCAATCAGAAGTTTAATCACACCCCAACTGATGCATCTCAAAATCAAGCTGCTTAGCCTGGCTGGCACTGTGGCCAGGAGCCAGGGCTTCCCAGCCATGGGGAGATTTGAAGGCTCAATCCCCTGAGAGACTGCTACTACCATTTGCTAAGATTTGCAAAAGACCTGTGGTTCTGGTGGGCCTGGAGAACCTTGCTCCTTACAACAGTTGTGGATTGAGAACAAGATGCGCTGCAAGGGAGGAGACCTGCCCAAGGTCAGGGTGGTGGCAGAGGCAACATTCAGAGCCTAGTTTGAGTACCTTTTAAACTGCACCAGTAAGTGACCTCTTCCCCAGGACATGTGTATTTCCCGGGGACATGGGCATTTCCCACGTGCTGTGTTTAGAATCCGTGCTAGCCTTTCCAACACATCCATCTGCTTTTCCAGCCAGCTTCTGCTGTGGGTTGGCTGGTGGCTCCTCGGGAAGCAGCCAGCACCAGTGTCTGTTGGAGTGGCTGGGCTGCTCTGTGGTTGCAATGGCATCCCAATTTTCCCGAAGGCATCTATACGATTTGGGAATTATCCGAGTGACCAGCTGCTGAGGCCTGTCAGGGACCAAGTTGGCAAAGGTAAAATCCACCAAATAAGAAAGATTTAGAGAGTCTTAGTTTCAAAGGTGGAGCCCCAAACTTATTTATGCACAAGGAAGATAAGAGCCAGAGGGATGAAGGCCACAAAGGAAGGAGATGGCCAAACCAAAAGTGTATTCTGGGTACCATAATGCTCCAGATACTGCTCTTCACCGGCACGGTTTTCCTCACTGCTGACCAGTGGGAAGGGACACAGATATAGAAAGGAAATGAGGAAAAGGGACCAGGGAAGGGGAAGAAAGATGGAGACCGGGGGGTGGGGGGGAGGATGGTGGAGAAGGAAGGGTGGGGTGGGACAATCACACAACTGTGAATACATCTTTAAGGAAAGACATTTCCACGCAGATATCCTAAGAACCATCCATGTTTCCTCCCAGGTCTCTTACGCTGTCGACTGTTCTCAACAGAAACAATATGGGGTAAACTGATGGTGTGGCGTCTATAAGCATATCACACAGTCTCTTAAGCCTACTTCTTCACATTGATGAGAAGCTCATATTGGGGGATGGGGTGATGGCACATAATTAGAAATAAATTTTAAAAAAAGGAAAAGTAAGAACCTCACATCAGGGAGCTGTGGAGATTGCTCAGTGGGGAAGGTGCTGCCAAGCAAGCACAGGACCTGAGTTCAGCTCCTCAGCACCTACAAAGAAGCCAGGCGTCGAACACAGGCCTGTAGAGCACGGGCCTGTAGCGTCAACACTGGAGGGCAAGGCAGAGATGAGCAGAGACCAGGGCTGGCCAGCCTAAGGAATTATGGGTCAGGGAAAGACCCTGATTTATAAAACAAGGTGGAAAGCAACAGAGGAGGACACCCAAAGAGTTCCCCTCTGGCCTCTACCCATCATGCACAGGCAAGTGCGTGCGCATGTGTACACACACACACACACACACAAGAGCCTCTCATTAGTAATATGACTGTGTGTCTGGGCAATATCTTGAATTGTTTCCATTGGCATATGTGAAACACTCCAAAGAAAATGTAATGGTTGAGGAGAAAGGCGGTACAGCAATGATATGTTTGAAGAAAATAATTGTCTGAACTTTTAAATTTAAAGAATTTTAAAATTGTCTGTCCCATAAGAAGTCAGATGCTGACAAATGAGAAAATACTAATGTAAAACAAGTTCCAACCGAATGATAAGTGAAAATTTAGAGAGAAAAAAAAAACTATACCTGCAAAGCACAATTAAGAGTCAAATCCTATCTATCGGAGTCCCAACTAGCCTACCCAGGATTCCAGCTCCTAGGACCAGCTGAGGGTCTGAAACTACACATTAAAGGTAAAATCATGGCATCTGAGCAAGTGGCAAGTTGTGAAGAGGAGAGACTGGCAGCCTCTTGCTGGTTCTTATTCTGTAAATATCTTCTCCACATCCTTTGTGCCAGCATTTGAAGCTTCCTTAGGTCCTAGCAAAATGAGCAGCTGGAGTCTAGCAGGACCTAACACGAGAACAACAACAACAAAAACAACAAAAAAAATCACCTTTCTAAGCAACACACAGGCTTTAGCCCCGCTGGACCTCACAATTCCTCCTACAGTTATACAGGCAACACTGGGAGACGCCCTGATAACAGCTCTGTGTAGCAGAGCCATGCTTGCTTGATTTCTAGCAGGGCACATGCCCCTCTGCTCCACAGAAGCCTAACCAGTCCTAGGGGAAACAAGTCTCTTCCTAACGCCCATGACCTTCCCTGGGTCACATTTCCCTAGTGAGCAAGGCTCCTTTCTCCTGCTCTCTTCTCCACATCTGAACAAAGCCCTGAGTAAGAAGATTACCTTGGGGTCTGCCCATGTCACTGTGCCTCTGCCAGTATGGAGACCTGGGCATCAGCTTCCAGTATTTCAGATGGGATGAGAGAGAGAGACCAGAAGTGGAGAAAAAGCAAAGCCTTTGGTTCAGGATGTGAATATGAGTATTGGGGGCATGTCTCCCTTAATCACCGACAGACTATGACCTTGAAGATCGTGCCTTGGAAACCAGGAAGGAGGGAATGTGGGTTCATACATGCCTGGAACTATAATATATCCTATTCCAAAGGCAAAGGAAGCATTCAGTTACCTTTAGCACAGTGTCTTATACCATAGGCTTACTATAACCAAGATAGTGCCAAGGCCTCCATGCAGGGAAAGCTATGCATTGGCAAAGAGACCGCCCTGCAAACGGTCTCCGTTCCCTGCCAACAACCGAGAAGATAAGATAGGTGAGCTTTCCTTCTCATTGCACTTTAAATGTTGTATTGGTCAGCTGTCTGTTACTATAACAAAACAGCTAAGGTAATGAACTTACAAAGTTAGTTTGAGGCTTATGGCTCTGGAAGGTTCATAGTCCAAGAGAGGTGGTTCCCTTCTCCTTGAGCATCTAGCAAGGCTTCATATCATGAGGGGAACAGGAATCAGAGGTAAAGGAGCTAACATGGGGAGCTAGAATTGATAAGTCAGTGTCTCTCCACCCCCTTAAGTGACATGCCCCAGTGATCTAAGAGCACTCCATCAGCAGGCCTCCTGAAGACCTTGGCCCACCTACCAATGGCACAAACATGGAGTCTCTTGGGAGCCTGCCTTTCTCACAGTCAATCACTGGGCGTTCAACCCATGGTCTTTGGGGGTGGGGGGGGGAGAGTTTCAATATCCAGACTGTAGCAATGTTTGCAATTTAGTACTGTAGCGAAGGTATGCATTCGGTTCCCGCTGTCCTTACTAATTGTGAACATATTTAGCTCTTCCCAGCTTTTCCCTTTTACATTAGCTACTGTCTACTAAAGACATGTGTGATTCCTGCAAGGGCTGAAAGAAAAGGTAGGGGATTTCACATCAGAAAAGCAAGATCAACCCTAGTCCCTGCCTCTTCCTCGCCTAGGACGCCGAGCCTCAGAGGCCCTGGCTTCTGCTGTTCTGCAAACTGCCTGTGGAAGTGCTTATGAACTACAGACCAGGCCATCAGCATGGCAATGACTGTGACGATGACGCAGGAGCCAAGGACTGGAGTTCAGCCACCTGCCCTCAGCTTTGCTGCCTCTTCAGGCTCCAGTTAAATTAATCCAGCAGAATTCAGGACACATGCGGTGGCAGAAGGAAGGGCGGCAAATGTCCTCCCATTAGATGTTACTAGGAAAAAATTAACAAGGAGAGCAGTATGGCTAAGCTCTTTGTAAACAAACAAGGAGATGGGGGGGTCAAATACTCAGCACTCATAATAGGTCTCCACCAGCCACAGAAATACTCAGGGGAGGAGCTGGGGTGGGAGGCAGTGTGCAAAATCTGAGCACAAAAGGAGTTACCCACCCACTCTGGGAAGTCTAAAGAAGGAAAGAATTACTATATGGAAAATCATTGCTTTACAGAAGTAAGAGGGGCTGCCAATTGCGCAATCAAGAGAGCCCTGATTAAGAGAAAATAAAGACTGAAGAAAAGATGGCTAAGAATAACCTCCCAGCACCCAGAGGCCTGCAGGATCCAGATGGACAACCCCTCCAGCTGCATCCCCTTGGAGACCCCCCTTCTCATCAGACTCCTGCTGAGCACACTTAATCCCATTGGGAAAAAAAAAACCTCTTAGCTAGTACCCAGCCTGCTGCAAGCCTCCATGGGTACGGGGCAGAGGTAACCATAGTCCTGTCTGTAGTGACCCTGCAGAGAGAAAGCATAATGCAACTGGTGGGGTGCAGGGAGGGTTGGGGGACCTGGAAAGGGCAGACATTTTTCCCCCATTCATTGTTTCAAAAATCAAAAAACTACTTGCAAAAGGGACTGGAAATCCTGGACAAGGAGGATGAAGCGGGACTGAAGGCACACCCACTGTAGGACTATCAGCCACAGGTTATACGCATGCTTCATCATCAATATGTAAAGTATTCACATCCTTCACGACCCAGCTAATCCACTTGTAAATGTGCACCTTACCACACGAGGAAAAAAAAAAAAAAGTATGCCATGGAAAACACTGTTGGAAATAGCAACACCAGAAACCACCTCACCACCATCATCATCATTGTCAGTCAATGCCGGGTGGTGCACAGAGGCAGCAGAGAAAATGAGCACTTTGCATGTGCTCATAGTAAGAAAAACAAACATCAAGACCACACTGATACCAGACAAAGGCCACTTGCAGGATACCAGTAGGATGATCATTCACATAAAAATGTTAACGCTGCACTGATAGCAAAGTTAGATACATAGTTACCGAAGGTAGAACAACATGCACGAGAAAACTAAACAGGCGCTCCAGAATAAACCTGTTCTTAGGGAGAAGAATGCAATCGGATGTTGGCAGATGTTCTCAGACAAGAGGCCAGGAAAGAGTCCCACATAAGATCAAAACAATTACCAAACCAACCAGGGGCTGGTTCCTGGGAGAGGCTAATTCTTCCTCTCCCAGCATTAGTTCCTATAGTTTCTTTGTCTAGGGGTGAGACCCTGTGAGATTTTACCCCTTCAGCACTAACACATCTATGGATATTGCCACTGTTGGGGTCGTGTTCAGGCAGCCATGTCTGAGAGACACGGTCTCACGGCAGATTTTCTGGTCCTCTTGCTCTGACAGTCATTCTGTCTCTTCCTCCAGGATGTTCCCTGAGCCTTAAATTCAGGAGTTGTAATGGACCAGCAGATTGTGTGTGTGTGTGTGTGTGTGTGTGTGTGTGTGTGTGTAAAACAGTACAAAGGCAAAGAAAAAGAGACCCTCAATTTGAGAAGGAGTGTGGCACAGTGAACCTGGGAGGAGCTAAGGGAGGAAAGGGATGTGGAGAAGTGATTTCATTATATTTTAATTTTAAAGTATATTTTTTAAATGCTTAGCAAAAATACCATGGAACAAAGGTAACTCTTAGGTGATTTACTTTCCTCTTGCAGTCTCTCAGGCAGCACACAGCTGTGGTGGGAAAGGCCTGTAGTGACTCTGTGGCACTCTCTGTGGGTAGTAACTCTGTGTGGCTCTCTCTGTGGGTAGTAACTCTGTGGCACTCTCTGTGGATAGTAACTCTGTGGAACTCTCTGTGGGTAGTAACTCTGTGGCACTCTCTGTGGGCAGCCTTCAAGCAGCTCCTCCCCTCCCCCACCTTCCCCAAGAGATTTGCTCAACAGTAGAGAGACAGTGGCCAGCATCAGGACATGGATGGGTCCCAAACACTAAGCCAGCCAAAGAAAGCTCATCTTTGCTGAAAGAATGTCAACGTGTCATCATGTCCTGGCCAACAGCATATGTAGGGGCATCTCTCTGAAAGCTCCTGGGAAAGAACTTTCTCACCAAGTTGAGAAACCTCCTTCTTTGTGTTCAGAAAGTTCAGGCCTATTTCCTCCTCAGACTGCAACTTAAATGAAGGTGGGCTCATACCAGATTTGCTTAGCATTGCGCAGCAGTGTCTAACATGCTGCCTGGGTCATACTCAGCCTTTATCAATCATTTGAAATGCTCAAATAAGTAACAAGATGGCTTTCAGCTAGAATAACTGAAAAGAGCTTCATGCAGGGATATTTAGGATGAATCTTAAATAGAAAATATAATAATATTCAGAATGAGATGAGAATGCTAACCTGTGTTGAGGTCCTCCTTGCATATTCTAGGCTCGCTAACATTGGATTATCTCTTTCGGTCCTCACAACGACCCTATGAACTAGGTACTTTACCCAAGAATAAACTAAAACACAGGAAGTGTGATGAACTTTCCCAAGGCCACACAGCTAGAAAATGGTTTTTTTGAACTTCAGCTCTGACTCGGGAGAACTGTACCCACACAGACTTAATCAATAGGGCACAGGAGTCACAATTCAACTCAGCAAACAGATGTGAAATGCCTATTGCATGACAGCAATGCATCCCCTGCCGATTTCTCTTCAGTCTCTAAGAATATAAGGGTACAGCAAAGTCTGTCTCTGCACAGATGGACGGACTGAGCAATTAATGCTCACAGCTATCTTCTATTGAGCAAGGTAGTACACTGGGCAATTTGCATATGTCATCTCATCATGTCAGCATCATTAATAATGCCCATTTTACAAATTAGAAAACTGAGTCACCAAGATATTAGGTCCTTTACCCATGATCACACAGCAGTGACAGATCTGACCCATGTCATTTGTTTGCAGAGTGGGAATGACTCTCCCTGACGTCATTGCTGCAAAGTAAAATGGCAGAAGCTTTAACAGAGGTGTGTGCTCAGAAGAGTGGAGGCAGCAAAGGAAGGCTGAGGATCCGTGCTTGAGTAGGTGAGAGAACGCAGCCATGTGCTTGCATGCTATGAGCAAACCTTGAGAAGGGAGTGCATCTACGTGCCCACATATCAGGAATGAAATATGTATTTGTGTGTATGTTCTAAGCATGCACACACACTATTGTGAGAGCTACCTGAGGGTGTGTGTGTGTGTGTGTAGGGGAGCAGGGACAGAAAGAGAAATATCAAAGGCCTTAACAAACACTGAGCTGCACCCAAAAAGCCAATGCTCCATTCAGTCTCACAACAATGACTCAGAGTCCAGGCAAGGGCCCAGGTGCTGGGAGGTGACAGCAAGTCTCTGAGGTCTAGCAGCAAACAGGAAGCCAGCTCTGCCAGCATGGAGTTTCAAATGGGGCAGGAACCAGACGTTCTGTTGCATATCGACCATCCCTTCCCAAACAAAGACCACAGAGTACCAGAAACTTTTTAGTGGAAGCAGCTCTAATAAAGGGAGCCAAGAGTTCTGTGAAGCCTGCTGTCTACATCCCAGGATGCAGGTTGCAGGAGAACCTGAGATCTACAAAGACAGCCATGAAGGGCACGCCCACACACATGCCATTCTCTGGAACAGGGAGAGGTTGGTGCCCAAATGGCCACCATATATAAACCACTCCTACTTTTTCCTCTTCATCCCGCCTCACCTCTCCACACTTCTCTCTGTTTCTTTGATCTAGGTTATTTTTCTGAGCACCCAAGGCATAGCAAATATAGTTCGTGCTCAGCCAAAAGATCACCATCTCTGCCCAATTTGAAACACCACAGTTGGATAGGAAACAGATGTTTCTGGCCATTAAATTTTATACGAAAACTACAAATGTTCCCCCTGACAAATGAGATAAGGAGAGCCTCTAAGAAATCATGAAGTCATCCCCCACGGGAGGATTCGGCAGGGGTGATGCATGGTCTGGTGGCAAGGGCTTGCGTTTTTCTTGCAAAATTGAAACACAATCTGGGGTAGAGGAGAAAGAAGCTGTTTGCAAATGACACGGAGACCCGATACCCTATCTACACTCCCCATGCTCAGGAATCTCTGCCTTGGGTTAGGGTATTTCACAGTTTAGTATCACAGCGGTGATAGATTTGATTAGGCACTCCTCCATTTGCTCAAGTTATATAATTCAACATGTGTCTTGCTGTCAAGTTTTATGTTAAGGTTGTGTGTGTGTGTGTGTGTGTGTGTGTGTGTGTGTGTGTCTTTTAAATTGCCAATAAGGAAAAACTATTCAACTCACTCAATAAATTTTGATGGAAAGCCTATTAGGCCCTGGTCTGTGCTAGACTATGGGACATACAAATGATAAGCAACACCATCTTTGCACATAATAAAACCACAGACACTGAACTCTTACTTGGTACTAATGTATCCATTCTCCTCAAAGGCCAAGTGTGCTGTCGGCACAGATGGCAGGATCATACAGAAACCTCTCCTGTAGAAAGGGACCACCGAGCCTGAGAAGCCAAGCATGGATTTGCCTATGCCTGCTGTGGCCCTCCAAGGAAACCAAAGTCATATGTAAAGAAAAAGTTATCAAGAAAAGAGAGAAGTGTTTGGAAAACCCAACTCTATTGTCTCAGTGCCCTGACATTCCATTACAATGCAACAACTTCAGTAGGATGTCAGACTCTCCAGTTACTTTTTTTTTTTTTCATTCTTTCTAGGTGACAAGAAACAGAGGCACACTCAACTACAAGATTATTGTGGGAGAGACAAGAAACCATCCCACAACTGCCTGACTGGGCTCATTTCATACAAGTCACCACACAAGCTCCTCC